CTCTCTCACACTCTCTCTCTCACTAACTAAAAACACCAAATAATACTTTTTCTATGTATGTGGGGAAAAAAGAGGAAAATATAGATAATACACAAGATGAGACATGCCTAATCCTGCGTCCTCGGTTGGACACAGGGGGACTGATGTGTGGAGCTGAAACTTTTGTCTAGCGGACTGCTGTCAGTGTCAAAGAATGGCTTAATTCAAGAAACTGTGCTTGTTAAATGGTGTACCTGCTTGTAGGCGTCCAGCAGGAAGCTGTTCCAGATGGAGCGGAGCCCCGCTGAGGTCAGCATGCGGCGCCACTCTCCGGAGCCTGCGGACCGGGAGCAGCTGAGCAGCGACACAACGCGCTTCACCAACACCACGGAGTCGTACAGGGCGAGGAAAAGACAATTCGAAAAGAAACCAGGTAGAATCTGGAGTGTCACGAGCAGATCCTCACTCGCCATTCCCATTTTCTCTTCCTGCGCTCGTGCGGACGAATTATTCCAGACTGCCCTTCATTACGCGCAACGCGGTGTCGTCGGTCTGAGTCGCTCCCCTCATAGTTCCTGCTCTGCCCCGTGGGCTGCTTCCAGACTGCGTGCAGAGGACGAGGGAGGTGTATCAGGTGTGTGCTGCAGAGCGGCCTGCTGTGCGCCGTCGCCCTTCAGGTGTTGAGCGGTGTGCGCACCGACGCGAGGCCGCCGGAGCTCGATCGCTCTTCCTAAATGGACGAACATTGTACTTCATATTAAGGCTCGCGGCTTATCTTTGTAGCAAGATTCTGACGTCAGATGTAGTGCATACCCTCTGTCCCCTCCTCCCCCCTTCCTCTCCTCCCTCCCTCTTCTCCTCCCTCCTCGCTGTGCAGTGTCTGTCAGGCATTTTGTAATTTTATTGACCCTGTGGATTTTTTTTTTAAACAAATGTCATCATTGTGCAATTGAATCAAACAATTATAGATCCACACTTTTTAAGCTCTTCAGGTGGGTAATATTTATTGTGTGGCTTTATACTGGATTGCCAGTGTTGGGGAATAGTGAACTGCATGTATTTTATGCAATAGCTTGCTGGTAGTTGAGCTGCATCACTGGTTCCTAACCTTTTTTACTGACTCAGTGCCATATTTTATGGATATTTCATTTTATATATTTAAAACTGTACAATGAACCCTAACAGTGAACTCAGTAACTGCAGAAAATGAGTGATTTGGATGAATTTTGAGAAGATTTTTTCCTGTTTAGGGAACTTTTCTGTTTGTTTTATGTTTTTTCTAAATCATTTTTAACAATCATACAGACTTAACAGGCTTCTTTTTTGACAAATTCAGTGGGTTTTTTTTGTCCCTGATGCTTGGCCATTTTTCATTAGACAATTTACCACGAAATGAACCAAATGCTGAGATATAGGCATGCTGGGTATATTTTGTAAGTTTTCTAACACACCTCACAGGCCTCACAGCACCCAGTGGACACCATCCCAAAGCCCTGGAAATGAGACTCAGCAATCAACTACCTTTCTCTGCTCTGATTGGTTGTTTTCGTTCAGGCCTGGTGGATTCTTGCAAACACCATTAGGAGCACTAGAAGGAGCCAGAGGAACCTGATTTTTTCAGCAAGAATTATCTGTCTCATGTACTAAGCTGTCAGTAATGTAGTGAAAGTTTGCAACAAATATGACAAAAAGTAATTTTTACAAAAAGTTACCTACTGCAGCTTTATATACTAAAAGGAAAGTCATGATTTTTTAATCTTACCATTGCTTCTCTTCTGTAATTGAACCCCCTTTGTACTGCTGTGAAGACATGCCCAGGCAATGTATTCAGGCAGCTGCTACCTCACACTCGACCTTTGTGTAGTTCATATGTGAAAAGGGCGGGCGTTGCTCAGTGCGCACAGTGTCATGAGTCAACCTCCCGAATCTCAGCCTGAGGAAGAATAATCGTGGCTGTACACGACACTGACACATTTTACATTTAACTATGCTGGCACCTTCCCGTGGATAGTGGGCTGTTTTATATTATTTTATTTTTTATTTTTTATTTAAATTATATACAATATAATATAATCATATAATATATACCTGTAATGCAAGTGGACGAATGTTTTACACATAAACTGAAATTGAACGTGCCTTTTTTTCTGGCAATGTGGTCCTTTTTTGTCACCTATACCTTTCGTTCTAACATTTGTATCACATATACATGTCAACTTGATCTTTTTTTAGATTTGTTTTACAATTTTAAGTACGGCTTTAGTTAAACCAAACTAGATTTTCTCCCTGGAGTAACTTTGCTATAGTGCAGTCCACCTGCTGTGTGACCTTGGGAAAATTGAAAGTGAAATTGCTTTCAAAGAGCTTCCCCCAAACACTGTGGGAACTGCATATGTTTGGGCTCCCATTGTACACCCTAATATGATTTATATAGTAGAAGCTGTTTTACAGTTCTGACTATAGTGTTAATAATAATAATAATCTTTGAAAGTATTAGCTTACTTTTGGTCCGTGGTAATCTTAGAGATGATAATATGGCAAGAATGAGTGCACAAACTCAACATTTTTATCCCAGTTTGAAGCGCACATTTTTACGCATCCACGTGTTTAAGATCGTGGTGGTTTTTAGTCCAATTTGACGTCTGGATCTTAAGATTAACCGAGAGAAACAAGCTGAGCATAAACGTTAGCAGCAGCTTCAGCTTTGCAAGCCCCATCCAGGACATCCTTTGTCTGTCAAACAGCGTGGGAGAAGCAGTGATTTTTAAGGGGGAACTGCTTTTCTCAGTGTTTTTAGTGGTTTTAATCAGTGGGAGAGGAGGGGACCTCTGTGGATAATTGGGCTTCCGTTAGAAACCTCCTGGAAGAAGCTGACTGCAATGACCACAACTCCCATAATCCCATGCTTCATATTGTACATTTAATTTAGGCAAATCTGTTATCAGGTATGTGTAACTAAGGTAAAACACTTCTAATCACAACCCAAATGCCTACATTACCCAGCTGTCTGCCACGTATACAAGGTGTAGGCTAGTAAAGGAGATGATAAAGAAACAAACCAAAATACATTTATAAACTAATTTTGGAGATAGAAGAATGTGGTTGTGATTAAATATCACACATAAACACATAGCACTCCTTGTACAGGAAAAATGTTGCATGTGAACACAATCCACACAGCAATTATTGCTCCTCCAAAATACATAGGAAACATATTTATATTTATTTATTATTTATATTATTATAAATATATTATTATTTATATAATTATTGTTTATAAACATAATCAGGTGGCAATAATTATTATTTATGCCTTTTTGGAAACTGCATGTATAACCCACAAAATATACATTATCTCATTGGGCTAACTTGTAGTTAATGAAATATATAAAATAGTGACAATAAATTCTCCCTAGTGGTAAAATAAATATTTTTTTCTGGGTCCCAGTTTGAGAACCACAGCTATAAGAGACACATATTATGTAAATAATTTTATAAGGAGTACAATCTAGACCTGCTCTATTTAAAAAGTGTCCTGAGATAACTTTTGTTATGCATTGGCGCTATACAAATAAAACTGAATTGAAATGAAAATATTTACTCAACAGTGAGCAATAAATTGAGACTTCGGAAGATGCAAAGCATTGCATTGTGACATTGCTGCCATTGACATTACTTTTTCCTTTCATTGTGGGATACTATATAGGCTAGTGCATAAAATGCATAAATGTCACGCTCATTTTCAAAAATAAAATGGCAGAGGCTAAAGTATTGCTTTTAACCTCATTCAGGGCAGTTTCTGGCCACACCAGGAACTGCCTGACACTGTCAACTGCCAAATTATTTAGTTATATTCAACTGATTCAGCTTCAGTCAACTTCTGTATCACGACATAAACACAGTCTAGTCTAGGGGGTCAGTCCAAGGCCCCCATAATAGCATTAGTTTATGGCTGAATAAACCCACAAAACAAAAACACTTCCGAATATATTTCTTTACTTTTATTAATGCACTAATAATCATTTGCGTTTAAATCTTTAATTATTGAATTATATTCAGCAGTGTGTCCTATGTGTCTGTAATTACTTTTACATGCACACTAGTGTCCTTGTTACAAGTCTTATCTTATATGGTTATAATCATATCAGATATTATGATATGAAACAAAAGAAGCCTTGTTCTTTATATCCCATATCCAGGTTACTGACTGTGAAGGAGCCTTTGACTTCTCAACAACTGACAGTCTCTGAGGTGCATGTTTATGATCCATCGCTTACGAACACTTACTGTCATATTAATTACAACGGATGGCTGCATCTCATTTAGGGCTTTATTTAACAATGTAATGGATGCAAAAGCATGAGAAGGACAGACCTTTCTAAGTAGAAGCGGTGTCTAAAATGTATCTAAAAAATATTTCTTCCTCCTCTTTGGTGCCCAGCTCCCTTTGGTGGTCAACCTAGGTGACCGCCTAGCTTGCTATGCCTATAGACAACCCTGACCTGAAATCTAAACAGAAACAAATCTACAATAGTCCCACTCCCTGAATATGCTTCGGATTCCACAGAATAAGATCACAACTTTCTTATATCACATGACTGCTCTGATAGGCCAGAAGTCAGTTCAAATGCATTCAGACTTGATTGCTTATCTTGCTATAGGTAGCTCAGATGTTGCTGTTTTTGACTCAAAGTTTTGAGTTGTCTGGAACACAGTGCTAGCATCAGTGACACACTGTTGTAGCTCCGTTGGAGTTCCTGTGAAACAACCCATGGTCTCTCCTGCTGTGATCATGTCTCACACTGCGTTACAAACAAAACTCTCACTTGTCTCACTTGGAAAATGATGCTTTTTATATCAGAACCTTTGCTGCATGTGACCCCATTGTCAACTCTCCCGACACTGGAATAACCAGCCTGTTCTGGGAAGTACTCCAACCAAGAACCTCCAGCTTTCGGAGGCAGTGTACTCAGTATAAAGCATCTTTATTCAAACTTGAAAGGGAACATGAAAAACGACTCTGTGTGCTCAGAGTAGTTGAATATGGCTTGTACTGTCATAGCAGCTGGTTCAGATCACATTACAGGACATGCTACTACATAAACCTTTTCCATAATTTTTATCTACCATCAGATCTTCGAGCAACGCAACTGCAGCTTTTCCAGTGTGACACCTTTGTCTGCAGAATGTTTATTGAGCCAGCAGTTGTGAACAAGTAGAAAACCTCAAATTTCATAATGCTACAGCGTCTCAGTGAGAAGGACAAAGTGATAGTTGTTGGTGAGGGCTGACTTTCCAAGAATTTCTATATTATTTATATTGTAAAGGTGTGTTTGATTCTGCATGAAGGTGATAGGGAGGGTGCCATAAAAACCTGCCACACACTTCAAATAATAAGTAGTATGATATCACATGGGGAGCAATGTAAAGATTGTACATTTTCACCTGTGCCACACAGCATTAACAACAGAGTAACCTCTTCAAACATTAAAAACAGTTCACCTTAAAATGATAAGAAGGCTGAACAAAAACATGAATGCAGGTGAATAGGGTAAAAATTCATCACCATGAAGCTTCCCCTGTTAATTACATTATTATTATATTTACTGAAATGTTATTTTTAAATATGCAAATGAAGTATTATATAATAACAATGTACAGATTTGCATGCATTGCTCCTAATGGTATTTGCAAGAATGCACTTGGCCTAGATGAAATCAACCAATCAGAGCAGAGAAAGATAGTTAATTGTTGAGACTGTCACATGTACCGTTAGGATATAATGAGAGTTTTAGCACATTTGACAAAAACACATAAAAAAAAGAC